TCTAACCATTTCTTGATGTTATAGAAAGGTAGCAAATTCTTCTTAATTATTTTAAGACCTTTAGTGTTGGTCCGGCCGGGGCTTGAACCCTCGACCTCCCGCACAACAGTCCAGCGCACTATCCATTGGGCTAACTGGGCGGCGGTTAAAAGTCATGTATAAATGGTTCCTGATGCTAACAGTAATTCTTCAGATTTTCCTGAAGATTTAATCAATGCATGATTTTTTTTTTTCAGGAAATCTTGATTATGCATTCACTGTGGAAATGCACACAGACCTAAGTCAGAACAATGAGGAAACATTGCGTGTCTCAGTAAGATTTAAATTTTATTGTTGAATTTTTCGTAATATCTGCAAGAAAATGATAAAGTAAGAGAAAACGTGATACAATATAAACCATTTCATTGAGAAGTTGTTTTTTTTCATACATCTAAACATTATTTCTGCAATGCATGGATTTATTTGCCATTGATTTTCCACTCTACAGATATATACATTTATTTAACAAAAATACTACATGCTTTCATGGGTCTGTTTGAACTTACCACATGTAACATCTCTGAACAAATGCATGGCAATACAGATTAGAATCTATTTGATTTATGTTAACAGTAATAAAGAAGCAAAAAGTTATAAAAGTTGAGTGGGGTCGTCATCCATACATCTGGCCCCCAATTGATCTTAGGTATATATGTTTATATCTTTCAATTATTTCATGTCTCTGTGTAGATTATTCAAGTTCATCCACTGTCCACAGAGTACAAGAAAGAACTCGTAACAGCAAATTTCAAGGAAGAAAAATGCCAACTTGGTAGTTATAATGTTCACTCAATATTTGTTGAAGTGTTTTGACAAAATTATTTATTAAGGTTGTCTATGATAGTGCTAATATCAAAATCTATCTAAGTATCTAAAATCCAACCAGTGCTTACCAACAGCATTTATGGGGTATTCATGTATGTTGAGTGTGTGATTTTCTTCTAAAACACTAATGAGAACGTTTTTCTGCTATGTTCAATTTTGCAAAGTTGTTAAGTTAAACCCAGGCAATTACTTTGTAACTGACAGGTTGATTACAGACTCACCTTTTCAATTAGTACTGGCTGTTATCTGATGTAATACCAACTTCCCCATATTGATTGACAGGAAAGTGTATGGAGGCTAGGAGTCAGAATTTTAAATTAAGTATTTTATTTTTCTCACCCTTGGCAGGAAGTTGTTCCCTGATGGAAGAGGATGGATCTATGTGTAACAGGCACTGGTGTGAACACATTCCTATTGGCTTCGGCAAAGATACTCATTACATTGGCGTGTCGTCTACCTTCCATGATATGTCAACTGACAATCCTTCAGTTGATGTTAATTTTTATCGCAATAAGACTGGGAAATGGCATCGTACTGCCTCCGAAAAATTTACCAATGATGAGGAAAAAACGGTTCACTTATTGGAGACATTTGTGGATAGTAAGGTGCACACAAGAAAAAGAAGAATGGCTGAGGGATCCCCAAAGTGGGAGTCTGTAACATTCAAAGCCAAGATTGGCAAAGTGGGGGATAAAGTTTCTTACCAGGTTAGTGTTCTTGTCATACATAATTGTACAATTTACAAAGAGTAACCAGAAATTCTAGGTGGAAAATCAAATGTTTTTTGTGTCCATTGGGAATATTTTGTGAATTGTTGGCCATTGGTGAGCTGACACTTTTTGATCAAATTCTGTTCATTTTTTTTCCATGGATTTTGGTAAGTTATATATACTGCAATACTTATGATTAAAAAAGTGGACTTGTGCTCTGCAGTTGTCTGATTGGCTTTCATTCACTCAATGTATGCCAGATGATTTATACAAACTGCATTGGACTCAACTTAGTCCAACTGAACTACCAGTACTTATTAATTTATGATTATTTTCAACTGATGATGGCTGTCATTAAAATTTTTCCCTTTCAGCTGTTTATGGTGTCTTCTGAGAGACTGTATCATAAAGTTATAAAGGATGAATTCTCACCAGACTGTGAAAAGCCTCCTACTCCAAGTGAGTCATTGAGTCAATTCATTTATAAATTTAAAAAAAAAATCAAAATGTAAATGAATAGGTTGTTGGAGGATTATTATTTCACAAAATCATCCCAAGTTTGTGAAATTAAATATATATTAATCTGATCATACCAGGGGCCTGTTTCTCTAAAGTCCCAGTTAAACTTAACAGGCCCAAAACCATGTTTTAAAATCAAAATTTAAAGGATAGGAAAGCAGGTTCTAGCACCCAAACCAGTCCTTGCAACTTGTCATGCATTGACCCCAACCTTGCTTGCCATTTCACTTTGCTATTACAATCTCTCTGTTGAAAAGACTAATTTGCTGCATGTTACTAAGTGAATGTGTGGAACAAGCTAGGGGTTTGTTTTTGTCCTATTTGCTCATTCATTTCTTTGTTTGCTAGATATCAATGTTGATTTACTGACTGTGTATTTGCATTGTTTATCAACAGAGACAACACTAGATTACAAAACCAAGATTGCTATTGTGGCAACAGTTGCGTCAATGGTGGCATTACTTGCAGGTGGCACTCTGTCCATGTTTTACTGCAAGAGGAAAAATTTTAGGGGCTGTCACAAGGCTTCACTCATTCAAGACCAGGATGATAATAGATTGTGAACTTAGGGATGAAACCTTTGGTGTTGGGATCATTGTATTTATATCATTAACTGTAATTGGAAATTCAATCTTTAAGTTTGACTGTTCACTTAATATGAAACTTTAATTTTTTTTTTTAATGCCCAGTTGCATGCCTTGGCTGTTTAAAAGGATGTTAACGGTGATCCAGGATTAAAAGTTAAGTGTTAGGGCTCGTGATTTGAGGGGTTTTATACCTTGGCGAAAGACAAAATTGGAAGAAAAGATTATAAACAATTAACCCTAATCTTAACTCCAAAGAACTGATATTATTAAAATAAATTCTTCCCTCTAGCTGCTACACATTTCCTTGTTAGCGAGTCGTGAGAATTTGGTTTTAGATCACGAACACAACTTCAGAGTACCTGATAACTTTGAGTATTCTCACTACTCTTTTGCTGGATAATGTATGGATATTGTAGGGAGAAGTTTCAGGTTAATCACCATTGGGAGTTGAGATTTAAAACCTCGCCTAGCTTAATCATGTTTTGAACAATGCAGCCTGGGCCTGTTTTTTTTTTTCTTTAACTTGGAATAATTAATTTATTAAACTATCTTTGAAAGAGATGGACATTCATTCTGGACACTATTTATATTTTTCCAGTTTGTTCATTGGCTAATTTAAATATTCTGCTTTGTTAGGTCATTGTAAATATTAAATAATTTGCAAAAGGGAATATGTGGTAGTGATAGTGAAAATTATCAAGCATATTTCAGTGTTCTCCTCTTCAGTTGGTAACTGGCTAAAATTTTGTACCTCCCCAAATTATTGCCTGAAATATCTTGGAACTCTCGATAATTTATAATTATCTCACTGTAATTGAATACATTGCAACAATGAGAGCCAATCGGATGACAAGGATCACCAGCGATTTCAAAATGAATGTAATTGTATTGTACTTATTGTTTTATGCAGAGCCCCATTTAACCAGCATATGCTGAACTGGGAATCTCTGCTAAAATATTGTTGATAAATAAATAAATGAAATGGGAAAAAGCATCTTTGCTTTACTGGTTTGAAAATTTCTTAAAACAATCTTGCTTAAAATTAGCGAGAACTCAGTTTTTGTGATGTACTTGGTTTACTATCAGCTTTGTTTATGAGAAGTTCTGCAGAGCAGGATGTAGTACCCAGCTCATTTTGAGCATTACATTTGTATTATTATAGTTAAAATTGTGTGCCAATGAATTCAGTTTTGTGTAATTGGTAAAATTATCATAAGTTAAGGGTGTTTGTTATCTAAGGTGTCTGTAACAGTGTGAATTAAATCTCCAAAACAATGAATAAATATGACTGAGTAAAAATGGGTTAGCTTGCGATAGTGCCCTCTTCTATATTTTTGTCTCTTGTTAGAGGAGAGAAGAGTTTTTCACCTTTCTCATTATGTAAAGGAACAAAACGTTTCAATGGAAACAAACAAAGTGTATTGTTTCAATCCATAAAGACATGCTGGTAGAAAATAGGGAAATAGCCTCATCTGAGCTGCCACAGGTGTTTGTACTGTGTCCTGTCTTTAAAATAATAATTTGTACACTGTTCTTCCATCAAATAATATCACCTTTGTTGCTGCTATGCCAAATGGCACCTGGACATACCCAAAAAAAGATTAACTTGCTGAAATGAATAATTTTCAGGGGATAAATGTTTTATCACATTTTTCAGAGAGTTTGGGAGTACCTTTTAACATATTTGCATTGTTTTAGAGATCTTGTGCTTGAAGAAAGCATTTGAAAATGATATCACCCATGAATGTTCAGGTTAAAATTGACTTCAATTAAAAATGGTTGATAAACACCTACCGCTATGTTCTTTGTGATGCATCAAGCTACATTTACATCATTTAGTCAGAGAAAAAATTAAAACACATCAAATTTGAAATGACTTCATTTCAACCTTTTAATATTACAAGAAAGAACAACAAAGACAAGAATAAAGTTTTAACATTAATGACAAAAAAGTGAATACTAGTCAACAGCAAGGGTACCATAACAGCTAATAGCAAATGATGAAATACATGGGAAAGACAAGATTTGTAGGAAAAAAAAAAAAATGTTCTCATGCAGGTAAAAGAAAGGGGCCAGATGCCATTCTTTAAGGTAAACCATCATTTTTCCCTTTTACATATTTGCAAAAAGTATGTCTGATTTCTTGCAGATCAGTTTTGGAAAGTTAGTGTCTTCAAGGTTAATCTCAGTCAGTCTGTTATTTTCAGTTTTAATGTTGGATTTTTCCAAAATAACTTGGGTAATTGAATAGTATTTGAATCACCCAAAATTGGTTCACCTTGCCCCTTTGATTGGAATTTAAAAAAAAAAAGATTGAATATCCAATTATTCTATTTATTCTCGAAAAACGGAGTGCGGAGTGCGGAGTGCGGAGTCTAAAAAAAAATTAAAAAAACTAAAAATAAAATGAAACATTTAAAAGAATAATTAAAAACATAAATACACTAGAAATAGGAATTCAAGAAACAAAAATAATAGTTATTAAAAAATTCACGCCCCCTGAAGTGGACTGTTCATATGGTATATTAAACTCAAGATTTTCATAACTAGCAGTTCACTTTTACCGCTTATTACCAGCTTTAAATGAATATATTAAGTACGTTTATCCCCGTCACATGCCTTTCCATGTCAACTATTGATTGAATGCCTGGGCTAGAAGAGACAACTTATCCCTCAGCCTCTTCCGGGCGTTCGGTTAGTTGAGTCATAGCTCGAAAAACGGTGAGCGAAAAAATCGGGAAAAAGTGCTTTTTTACTCTGTTTTGCGTTAAAAGCCTTCAAGTACTGTGTATCCATTTAACTTTATTTCCACCTTGAAATCAGTAATTTTCTTCCAGAGAAGATATTAGATTCTACCAGAAAAAAAAAAATACATGGCCGCAGTCACGGTAGTTGCACGTGGAATGGACGAGACAAGCAACCCTGTGCCGTTAAGTGGCTTTTTTTGGGAAAACATTTTATTTTTATAATTTGATTTCTCAAAGTGCAACTTTATCTGTGTATTGACTTGTTTCTCTATTTGTCAATCTACATTTTTCATCTTACTATTTTTCAGCGCTGAATATCTTTCAACGTTTTAGTTTGAGCTTAGCAAGAACTTTAGGACGCGCGGTTGACAAGTTGTGAGAATGGTTCAAGGGTTAATTCACAAGGGCAGTTTATTTTTGGAAAGCAAAGCTTGAGATTGTTTCGAGGCAGTACGGCTTTCCAGCAAAACCAAAGGTGTAATTTCTCTCATTTTCTAGACATGGTCAAAACTGGACTGTTCTTTACTTTTTTTTCCGTAAAA